TTGAAAAGGTATGGAGATAGGATGCATCCCTGGCGTATGCCCTTCCCAATTTTGAACCATGAAGTGTTCCCTTGCTCTGTTCTGACGACTGCCTCCATGTGATATATGCAGAGAAACATAAAGCAGCAAAATAAGGGAAAGAGTGATTCATGGGTGAGAGGGTGATTTCTGTTAGTCTGGGATGGGCTCGCAGGAGGTGACATTTGAGGAGGACTTGAGGAAACAAGTAGTTACAGATAGTGAACAGGCCCTGTGGTAGGACAGAGGTAGCCTAGTTTGTCACAGCAACATTAAGAAGGCCTATGGGGTTGAAGTAAAATGGGGAAAAGGAGTAATAGTGAGTGATGAGGCCAAAAGGCAGCAGGAGCCAAGAACTGGATGTAGGCCGTGGAAAGCGCTGGCACTGTAGTTGTTACCGTGAAAGAAATGGGGAATCACTATGAGGTTTGAATACAGAGAGACATAGTCTAATCTGTGTTTTGTAGGGCTCACTGGGTGTTGTGTTGACAACAGACTGCAGAGGTGAGAGTGGATTTAGGACCTTGTCTAGAGGCTCTTGTGATAATCCATGAGTGATATGTTGGTGATAAGGATAGAGTTGGTGATTGGCAGGAGTAAGGAGGGGTTGGAGGAGGATCCAGGGTATAAAAAGCTGGCTACATTTGCTAATGGATAGGACATGAGGTAGGAAATAAATGAGTCAGGGTGATGAGGAAGGATTTTTGCCTGAGCAATTGAACTTGGAGTTGCTATCAACTGAAATAGAAAGGACTGATGATAGGAGGAAGATGAGGAACTCAGTGTTGGATCTATCAAGTTTAAGATAGGGTTAGGCTTACACACAAAGATGTGGATTGGGCAATTTACTAAAGGAGTGTGGAATCCAGGTAAGAGGTCTAGGCTTGAGAAATGAGAGAGTGTGTGTGTATATTTTTAGCAGATTTATGGAGGTAAAATTCGCATATTATCCCTCTGTTTAGAGTGTATACTGAGTCTCTTGTTTTTCTTTTGAATGTTCAAAGAGTTGTTCAGTCATTGCCACAATAAATTTTCGGAGGTGAGTTAAAGGACTGGCTGGTATGAAGACCAGGCTATGGAGCACTACATTGTTCAGAGGTCAGGAAGGTGGGTGGAGACTGGAAACTGAAAATGGAATAATTATGAGGCTGTTGGGAGCAAGTGAATTGAGGATTGGGAAGTGAGCATTTGATTTATCAATGTGAAGGTGACCTGACCAAGAGCAGTGCCAGTGGCATGGTAGGAGTGAGGGCCCGTAAAGGAACTGTCAGGAGTTTGACTGTAAAGAGAAGTAAAGATATGAAGTGGGTGTTAGAGGGGTGGATGTCAGATCAGTTACTGACCATTGTCTGTGATAAGGGAAGAGGACATGGAATCTGAGGAGAGTTGACTTTCTCAAAGGTCATGGAATTTCAGCTTGAGGAACAAGAGAGAAGGTGGAGGGAATGGGACAGTTACTGACTGGTGATGGAAAGGGGTGGTGGGAATTTGTGATAGAGTGAGGAGAAAGTACAGATTGATGAGGGGCTGAGAAAGGACACTAGAGAAGAGACAGTCATTTAGACAGAGTGGGAGAGACAGGATTCTGAACGTGGTCCTCAGGCCCCTGCTCGATCTGGCTTCCCTGTGGATGGGTTACCTCTCCGGGGTCTAAGAGTCAGTAGGTGGTTGGGGAGCAGCAGGGAAAAGAGGCTGAGAAGATGTTTTCAGGAGAATACCGAAAGTTGCAGGGATTGAAGACGGAATCTGAGAAGCACCAGCTATATCTGGCAAAGTGGAAGTTTTGAGAGAGCCCACCTTCTGTGAGTGAAGAGGAAACCAGGGTGGGGTGTGGTCAAGGAAGATAGGGAGTGAGGAAGTTGGGACCACAAAAATAGACACTTTTCTGCTGAACTTTGCTGGGAAGAAAGGAGTGGGTTCTGTGGGCACAAGGGCTGCAGGGGTGTGAAGTGAGCTGTGTGCTTTCATGAGGGGTGCCCCTGAGCGATTGTTGAGAGAGTCACAGGCTGCGGGCAGTGGTCACTGGTATTGAAGCCTGGGAGGTCAACCTACGCCCTTATGGATGGTGTGGACCTTACTGGGCCTTATAAACGGGTCTTCAGGGAGCCATATGTAGCACTACTTTGGAACCACTGTCACAAAGGTGTTCCCCTCTCTGGCTCTCAGCTCAAACCTGCTAACTGGTTTTACTTTTGAGAGGGTCTGAGCTTCTCCAGAGACAGCTCCCTGGTGTGAAGGGGAGAGAGTAGAGAGCTTTCCCTTACGTCAGGAAGTCCTCCAGTCTATTTTGTATCTGCCCCATCAGTCTCTCCTTTTCTCTATATGGTCACTTGGCCACCAGGTGACACTCTGATAGCAAGTCATATTTTGGGATCCTTGAGATGTGGTTTTGTGAAAGGACAGTGCGTGCTGCTGGTTCAGTTTTGGGTCATCTGCCCCCGCCCCCTTCCAGGATGTCTTTATAGTGGCTTGGACTTGGGCCAGGCCAGAGTGCGCAATGGGAGACTCCATGTAGTTTGGGTATAGAGAAGTAGGCGTTAGGACCCACACATCTAAGCAAGGCTGGAAAGGGAAAGCTTAGAGAAACTTAACCTGATGAGCAGTGACTAAGGTCAAGGAGGATGGAGAAAGCTTAGGGAAGGTGAGAAATGTGAGATTGGGATCTAGTAGCGTGTTAAGAGTGGGGTTCCTGTCAGAATTTTCAGCTTTGGGACATGAGTGACCTTTGCCCTTGAATGTGAGTGAAATAATGGCTTCTTCAGTGGCAAGGCAGTCCTCAGGGAGTCTAGGAAGTTTTGAATTTGCTTGTTATTGTATTGGGGGTTTTTTCCCACCCCAGAAAAGATCCTGAAAATTCTCTCTGTTACACGACTTTCCCAGGAGTCTTTGTGGAGCTTTGATTGCATGGGCACAGCTCAAGAGTCGAGAACTTTCTCTTGATGTTATCAGAAAACTAAGCACCAGGATTGATCCAAGTCACATCAGGGAACTGGGGAGTACAGGGACGTGTGTGTGTGTGTGTGTGTGTGTGTGTGTGTGTGTGTGTGTGTGTGTGTGTTTGGTGTCTTCTGGAGAAGGCAACCATAAGGGATGATTTTCTGATCTCTTTCCCTCAGTGTGTTCCTTTCTACAAGAACATCGGTGGAAGACCTGGCTACCATCCTGCTGCCAAGGCATCAATCCCTGTTCCACCTAAATGGAGCTCAGAATGGATATTTTTAATGAAAATTAGCTGTTTCAGGACCCACCCCACTCCTTGAGACCTAACTTGTACCCACAGCCCTTTTGTGGCGTAGAACTGATCTGTCTGGCGTCCCCCTCACAGATTTACTGATGAGAGGGCACAGCTCTGTGTTTGCCATGCAGCATATCGCAGATGTATCCCACGTACTCTTGCGAAGAGGCCTTCTGGGAAGGGACCTCTTCATGACCAGGACTCGCTGCAGCTCAGGACCCAGTCAGCCCAGGGAGAAAGGACCTGAGGAGGTGGCCCTCAGACTGTATCACCGCTTCACCACCTTGGGGAGAACTGTGAGACGCAGCATTCAGCAACATATCTCCTCCACAGCCAAGACATGGTGGGACAGATATGAAGAGTTTGTTGGACTCAATGAAGTTCGAGAGGCCCAGGGAAATGTGACTGAGGTGAGGAAGGGATCTGGGTGGTTGGCCTTGCTTCTAACTTGGGAAATACTGCCTAGAGACTCCCACCAAACAGGTCACCAGCCATGTGGTGGTGAGAAACTCATCCATTCTTGCCTTCTGAACAGATACCACTCTCAGAGGTATTGCAGACTGAGGGTCCCTAAGAATGAAATAATTTTATAATTATTAATGATGAGACAGACTACCAGGAATGATATAGAACAGAGAGTGTGAAAAACAGGGGGCCAACAGTTCCCATGACTGAAGGCCCCAAGCCATGCTTCTCTGAGTATTTCTTTAGAATCATAAGGAAGGTGAACAAAGTAAAATCACCAGGAAGTACAAAACAAAAACAAAGGATAATGGTGAAGTCTTTTACAGATAAGGAGATTGATTTTCCAATGTTGACTCCTAGGGAACACCCCAATGCTACAAGGTGACCTTCCCCTTGTATTAAGCTTCCCTCATTTCCCGATACAGCATTTGGTCTACTATTATTAAATTTTATATTCGGCTTCCCTCACAGAGGCATCCAGCTCATTTCTCCCCCAAATACCTGAGGGTGGTACTACTAGAGAGAAGAATTAGGGCAGGATTCCTGACCAGTATCATCCACTAGTGGATATTACAACAGCAAAGGCTTCTTTCATTTGACTGTTTGGGGCATTGGTGGTCGTTATCTAAGGGTTTGCTTTTTTTGAACCTGTGTATAATTAAAACATCCCTCTAAAAATAGAGGCTCCAGGGACATTGCACTATCTGGGCCACAGAGCTGCCTGTAGTTGTCAGGCCTTTTAGGCAGCAGAAATGCTTTGTGCTGTTACTGTTCCCAGTTCTGCCATAGGCATGTGGACTGATATGGAGATGTGGGGAGAAGGCTGGGCCTCCTTCATGGGTTTTGAGACAAAGTACAGTTTCTGCCCTTGGAGACTGAGAGATCCTGGCCAAGCCTGAGTTTCTAGGCCCATAGAATGGAGACAAAAAGCAATGTTTCTCATGTTTGAGGGATAAATAAGGTAGCACATGAAACAGTTTAAGCACTCAGGTTTCTCACTGTGGTTCCTATCAGGAGCTGCTGTATTTGGCACAGTGCAGGTTGTATACATTGTTAGCTATTTTCCAGCTTCTCAGGGGCATGTTACTTCTACTTGAATCGGTAAATCCTGTGATTCTGATGGGCATGGCTCAGGCTTGCACTCTGAGTACCACGAGGGAAGCCAGGATTAACTTCTGAGGGACTCTGCTTCCACCCTTTGCAGCTGACATTCCAGTGACCACTTAGCCACAGCCCTGTCGAGAATAGGCATGGGCCTGTGTAGGTATGAGAAGGAGCAGACGGCCTGTTGTTTGTTTTCTTCGCAGGCAGAGAAACTATTCATGGTAGCCCGGGGGCTTGTCCAAGAGGCTCAGGGAGACTTGGAAGATCAGCGGGTCAAGCTGAAGGAAGTGAGGGACCGCTTGGACCGTGTCTCCAGGGAGGACAACCAATATCTGGAACTGGCTACCTTGGAGCACAGGATGCTGCAGGTAGGCACCTGTGGGAGCAGCCCTTCCTACCAGAACTGGGACCCCTGCCTGTCAGTTCATGGAGGGGTCAGGTGGAAACCCTGACTGGTCTACTGGGCAGTGTGGCCTGGTGAGGAGGTGACCAGCAGGCTCCTAGGCCTTTTCACTCGTTGCTTCTTTATAGGATTGAGACTCTCAACTCAGAACAGTGTATTCTGGGACTCAGGTTGTAAAGAGAGACACCGTAGAGGGGACTGGTCCTTCAGGCACGTTTACTAGATACCAGTCCATATCTGTTCAAACCTAGGGTGGCTTGGGTTGGAGATAGTGCAGGTCACCAAGGCCTCCTGTGTTCCTTTGTTTTCCTGTAATCATGCTTAGGCCATCATCAGCTCTAGATTCCCTGCCCCAGCCCTGTGTTCCTTGGCTCCTCTTATAATCATGCTTATGCTACTATCAACCCATGTGTATATGTATATGGAGCACGTACTGAATGCCACACATGGGACTAAACACCAGGGACATGATGTCGGCACTGCTGACAGCTTCAGCTGCAAGGCTGCCTTGTTGTATAACACAGCTTTGCTTCTGCAGGAAGAGAAGAGGCTTCGTACGGCCTATCTGCGTGCAGAAAACTCTGAGCGAGAGAAGTTCTCCCTCTTCTCCGCAGCTGTGCGAGAAAGTCATGAGAAGGAGCGCACTCGGGCTGAAAGGACCAAGAACTGGTCTCTCATCGGGTCAATTCTGGGGGCCTTGATTGGAGTGGCTGGCTCCACCTACGTGAACCGTGTACGACTACAGGAGCTGAAGACCTTACTCCTGGAGGCACAGAAAGGGCCGGCAAGCCTCCAGGAAGCCATCCGGGAGCAGGCCTCTGGCTATTCCCTTCAACAGAGGGACCTCCATGACCTCATGGTGGACCTTAGAAGCCTGATGCATGCTGGGCCAGAGCAGAGCTCAGGGTCTCAGACAGGTACTCCCCCCATCCAAGTCAGAGACACAAATGTCCTTTCAGCTGCCTTGAAAGAACAGCTCAACCATTCCAGGCAGGTCCATTCACGTCTTGAGGGTTTACAAGAGCAGCTTGACGGCCTGGAAAAGACTTTAAGCCAAATGGCTGGGGTGGTTCAGCTTGCAAAGGCTACAGCACACCCAGACGTGGTTGAACAGGCAGACTGGGCTCCACCCAGCTCCTTGGTGGAACAGGGGAGTATGATCTTGGCACTGTCGGACATGGAGCAGAGACTAGAGGCCCAGGCTAACAGGAACACCATCTACAGCACACTGGTTGTCACCGTAATGGTGGTTATACTGCCTGTGATGTACATGCTCTTCAGGGCCAACTAGTCCTGGATCCACCGCCAGAGGGTTTGCGGGCTTAGGCGGGGGTATTCCAGCAGTGATGTGTGTGCGTCCAGCCTTAAACTGAGTCTGCGCACCAACTGGGTGGCTCATCAGAGTCTCCTGCAGACGTACTTTTTTTTTTTCAACAGTGATTGTGACATTCAACATCATAACTCTGTATTTATGCTCAATTAAAGTATTTTTCAGTTTGTGTTATTTAAAGAAATTTATAACAGACTGAGTTTTGTCTACTGAAAATTGGACAGTTTATAACTCATGGGTAGATCTGATGTTGAGATATGCTTTTCCCTTTACTCTTTTCTTATCTCTTTTGTTCTTAAACTCTTTTGGACTTTTTAAAAAGCCCTCACCTCTGGAACTTTCCTTCCCAAGTGAGGTTACAGTGAGGGAAACCCAGTTTGCTTCCCAACATGGCTAGCGGCAGACTAACCAGTAAGCAAATTGACTACAGTTTGATGAAACTCGTGACATTGAGCATTACAGATTAAGTAAATACCAGTAGGTATATTTTGCTGATTGGGTAACCAATTCCTGGTCATGTCCCCTTTTCTGGGTAATTTTTTTCTGCTATTGAGGGTTCTAACGATGGTCTTTTCAGTCACTTATTATGCATCTGAGAGGTGGACAGTGAATAAGGATGACTGAAAAAAGATGGATGCCTTTGAGTTGTGGTGTCGGAGAAGAGTGCTGTGAGTCCCGTGGACTGCCAAAAGGACAGACAGAGGCAACAGTGGTGAAGCTCTGTCTCATATACTTTGAGCTGTTGGTAGGAGAGGCTATTCCTTAGAAAAGGACATAATGCTTTGAAAGGTGGAGGGTCAACAGTAGAGAGGAAGACCCTCAACTAGATGGATATTCGCTATGACTGCAGCAGTGGGAGCAAGTATGTCAGAGATGATGCAAAAATGAGGGAATATTTCCTTTTTAAAAATTGAACTGGGTGGGGTAAGGAGAAAAATGTCAACAATGAATGAATGAAGACTTAACTCTTCTGTAAACTTGTTAAAAATCACAATTAAAAAAGTATGTCAGGGAGCTCTGGTGGCTTAGTGGTAAGAAGCTGCACTGCAATCCCAGAGGTATGCAGTTTGAATCCACCAGATGCTCTGGGAGGGACAATCTCCTCCTGTACCAGTCAGATCTGATTTGATGGTACATGCAATAAAATAATTAAAAAAAAGGATGTCAGATGATAAGGATGGCACAGGACAGATGACGGAGTTCAGATCTGTTCATAGGGTTGCTATAGTCATACTTGACAACACTTAACAACAATGCTCGAGAAAGGAGCCCTGGTAGCATAGTTGTTTAGCACTTGGCTGCTAATACAAGGATTGGCAGTTCAAATCCACCACCCGCCCTTGGGGAAAAGCTATGGCAGTCTGTGTCAATAAAGAGCATAGTCTTGGAAACCCTGTGGCTCATTTGCTCTGTTCTATAAGGATATTTTTGGGTTAGAATTGACTCAAGGGCGACAGAGAGCAGAGAAGACGGTTTTGGGGAAATGGTAAATATTGCTGGGGACATAATTGCAGGGAGTGATGGTTCATGGGGCAGAGTGCTCAAACAGCACTTACATGTCACAGGTTGGGGCACCATCCCACACACAGCCCTGACAGCCCACCAGTGGTGAATGGAGAGATGGCAGTGGGAAGTGGCCTCCTGGGCCAGGAGGTGCAGTGGGGTACAGACACAGCCAGCTCTGAAAACCACTGACCTGTCCTTTTTCAGAAAACACTGACCCTTGACCTCCTGGGCTAAATGGCCATGGGTAGCCTCGTGTCTACTTGAGCAAACAGAACAGTGGAAATGCATTCTCCACTTGTGTACTGGGAGATCTGCTGATCCAGTAGATAATCTCTTTTGGAGTATACACAGGCACTGTGTCCCACCTCCAACCCTTGCCATCACCAGCAGCCCATGCGCAGGCTTGGGCAATGATCAGGGCCCAAATGGGCTTATGGTCTGAACTGTAGTGTCTGGTTTCTGTCATATGTCACTCTATCCTTGGAAGTCTTTCCCTCAGGTACTGGCTCCCTCGGATGGGTAGGATGAAATGACCACAGTACTTGGCATATTCCAGATGGAGCCCGAGGCCTATCTATGGAGGATGTGGATTTAGAAATTCTAAATTGGGGATGGTGTGGGTCCTGAAGGGTGCACCTTAAGTGAATGACTTCTGTGGGGGGATTCTAGTGATGGGGAAGGGACTTCTAAAAAGTGCAGAGGCTGGAGGGCTGAGTGAGGCCTGGTGGTCAGTCTTGACTTTGTTGAGGGGATGGGTGTGGGGGGATTAAGAGCATACAGTTTGGGAATGAGGGGATTGTAAATCTAGCAGTCAGGAGGGAGGAAATTACTGGGGAAGCAGCGCGATGCTGATGCAGAAAAGGCGATGCTGATGCAGAAAAGGCGCTGAGCACCGGAGGAAAGTGACTTGAGAGGAGATTGCCTATCTTTTTTTCCTTGGAGCAGCAGGTAGATGTGAACCATCAGCATTTGGGTTGGCACCAGAGCTCCCTTGAGAGGTTAGAGGGAGAATTAACAAGAACTCAGAACTTAGTATGTGAGGATGATAAGAGGTATCTCAAACTCCAGCTCATTGCCCTCGAGTTGAAATTCATAGCTGACTTTGCAGAGGTTTTCTGAGAGGCTGAAAATCACACTGGAAGAGAATGGCCATGTTTCTCCCGTGGAGCTGCTGGTGGATTCAAACCAGTTGCCTTTGGGTTGGCAGTGCTAAACCTCCCTCTGATAGGGAGTAGGAGGTGGGAAGTAGGTCCATATGTACAGTCTTCTCAGTAGCCTGAGCAGACCACTCAAAATTCCTCCTGGCTGAGTGTGTGATGGGTTTTTGTCTTTCAAAAGACTGACCCAACGTTACTCAGACAGTTCTAATACATCTGGCCAAGTCCCGGCTCCTGAGTTTGCAGTGGGCAGGCCAGGATGTAGAGGGCCCCATGGAGGCACAACCGGGACTTGAAAGAATGAATCTGTCTACAAAGTTCCAGGTGTTTGCCAATGAGGGAGTTCAGACTTGCCCAAGGCTGCTTCAACCACATTTTGGGGAAGGATCAGGTACAGGAGGGGAAGGGAGAAAGGCAATACTCCCTCTCCGTGCGGCTCGGTGGCCTGAGTTCCCTCCTTCAATAGCTTGCTAGGCGTGGTATCACCTCCATTAGCCGGTGAGGGTGAGCAAATAGGCTTGGGGGTCAGGTTACTTGGCTTAGTGATGGCGCAAACCCAGGCCCAACCCCAAAGCAGCCCCGGGCTCTTCCAGCACAGGCAGAGGTGGGGGCCGGAAGGAGGGGCTGGCTGCTGGGGAATCTAGGGAGAAGGTGCTGTGGGGCTAATCAAGGCATCCAGGAGTTGAGGTAAAGGAAGTAGGGAGGACGAACACAGGAGCTAGGTTGTTCCTGGAACAAAGTGCAGGAGTTCGGGCCCAGCGAAGGGCTGTGCGGTGGCTGGTGAACAGGCTCGGCAGGTGAGGGGCTAGGATTCGACCTGGAGCAGGCAGAGCAGGGGAGAGGTCTGGACGCTGGTACCTCTGGCATCTGGGGGTGCGAAGCGCGAGACCCTCCTCCAACCGCTCCCAACCCGGGAAGGCGCCCTTTTCTGGTTACAGCGCCGCGCGCAGGTGAGGCCCAGACCCGGACGGTGGGGGAGGCCGGGGCGGGGCCACTCGGACACCAGTCCTTACCCCCTCCCCACGCGCCGGGGATCTTCGTTGCCATGGCTACCCGGCCGCATGGCCAACACCCCCCTCCTCCTGGCGTTGCACCCCCCCAGCCCCGGGCAAATGCGAATCCCGCGGGATTGGAATGCGGGGTCCCGGGCGACTCGGGGCCGCGCGCCTGGCTGCTTCCGGCCTGGCCCGAGCGGCGCGGGGGGGAGGGCAGCCCGGCGGTCGCGGTGGGGGGGAAGGAGCGGAGCCGACCGGGCCGACGCGGCTTTGTCTCCTTTGTTCCCAGCGGTGGCAGCGCCGCGGCGGGAGGGGCGGGCGGCGGGCGCAGTTTTCCGCCTCCCGGTCTCCGGGTAACAGCTGCGGCTCCGCCGGACCCACC